TATATATTAATTATAATATTAGTGTAAAATATTTACCAATAAATTGATAATTAATCTTTGTTAAAATACTTGAATAATCACTTGAACCACAATTTATTGATATATACCTTGAAGTTTTATTTTTGGGGGGTGTTTTTTTGGTTTAAAAAGTCTTCAAAACTTGATTTTTTATATTCAATTTTTAAAATTAATAATTTTTGTTCTGTGATTTAATTATAAATGCTCAAAACTTTAGTCCTTAAAGCACTAATTTTTTTTTATATCTGTACAGATACCAAAATTGAGGTACACCCAAAAATTATTGTTTAAAAAGTGGGACAAAGTCTAAATTTTTGAAAAAGTTTCAGGACTAAAAGCACCAATAATCTTTTTGTTTTGGCATTGTAGAGAACATGGAGATGATACTCAAGTGTGTTTTACTAATTTGTGAATCAATGATATGACTTGCAGGAGAATTAAAAATGATTTTGTCACTGGTGACAAGTTTGGAGCCAAGAGAACAGAGGCTTCTCTTCAAGGGCAAAGAGAGAGAGGACAATGAATTCCTACACATGGTTGGGGTTAGAGACAAGGACAAGGTACTTCTCCTAGAGGATCCAGCAATCAAGGAGAAGAAGCTTCTTGGCATGGCAAGAGACCAACCCATTAACAATCCTTGTTGTACCATCACTGTTTGACCCTTATAATTGATCAAACTTCTTGTTAATTACTACTAACTTCAAAAGGAAAAAAAAGTGAAGTAAAGTTTAATGTAATGATGGGTCTTTCTTCACTTTTGTTTGTCTTAGAATAGAAATTTAATCATGTACTTATCTTGTGGGTACAACCCTCCCTTGATTTAAAAATGTGTAAGATGATGCAATGCCATGTCATTTTGCAGAGTGTGGTCTGTTAATTAAAGTGTTGATTCCTTCGGTTTTTTTACTTTTTTTTTATTTTTTTATTATTTTTTTTTATTGCTTGTGATGGTTTGGTTTGTGTCCTATTGTTCAATTATATAAAACCATGCGTGCAAACCGACACCAAAAGAGATTAACAAAGCTTAATTAAGTACGGTGGAAGCTCTGCTTATGACAATGTCCCACAAAAATGGGCACATTTTGGTTATAAAGTTGAAGTTGTTTGGGCCAATAATTAAGGAAGTGTTAATATAAATTCTTAAGACTAATTTAATTCAATTAAAATGAAAGATTTTTTATTTAAAACAAAACATGGTATTGGTATTGATGTCCACGGAAAACCGTGAACACATATAAGAGTGTCTATTTTCTTGTCAGCAAAGTTTCATAATTTATTTTATATCGTCTATATCAATATAGTTTATTTTATATTCAAAATTAAAATTAAAATTCCATATAACTTAATAATTAATATAAACTACTGCTTGAGGATAAATGGATGAATTTTATTACAGTTCTAATATTTATTATTGTACATTTATGTTTGTGTCCTATTTTTTTTTCAAAAGAAGGATACTCCTTGTTTTAATTCATTAAAATTGAATTCATTATCAAGAAATTACAATAATTTATACGATCGAATTAATGTAAAAGGGTTTCTTGGTGAGTTAAAATAATATTTAACTAAGTTTTGTGAATGTAGATTTAGTCAATAGTTATTAGCTTTAAAATATCATGTGAACTATATTTATGAAAAAGAGTAAAGTAAAAATTTTATTAAAATAATATTTATTATTATATGCATTTATATTTATTATCTGATAAATTTTTTTCAAAGAAAACTTTTCTTATCCATTTAAGCTTAACACTAAAAATTTTATAACAAATCATACACTCCTCAATATGACCTAAACTCCTTTAAAAAAATGATACTCTTTTTAGCAGACATCAACTCGATTCTAAAAGGTTGTTAAACAAACTGAATAATTAATACTGATAATAATGTCAAAATGTAACTTCTTGGTGCCGTACAATGGCTCAAAGTGGGAGGCAAAGAGGTCCATGACAGGCATGGAGTTCTCTTATTTGGGAAGCAACTTCAATGGAATTCAGCACAATCATTTTTGGGTATTGATCATGCACTTTGTTTAATTTGCTATGTTTCTAAAAGCCAATTACTCACCAAACATCTTTGAGAACTAAGAAGACGGATAATGTAATTGAAAAATTATAGATGTGCACTTACTTTTTGGACATAGGAAACGGAAGCAAGGAAGTGACGAAAAAAAAATACTAAGACAAAAATAAAAGATAAGTAATGTAAAAATGAGGAATTGAAAGGCAGCTTGTACCTTAAAAGATAAAGTATACACTTATTGTGGTTCGAACATATTCTAGTCTATCATTTTTTTTATTAAAAAATAAAAGGATAAAGTGTGTACATGTCAACCACTTTAATTAATGATACATGGTTCATATTGTTAAAACTAATTTTAATTTGTCATATCAAATTTGTCTTTAAAAGCCAAAATAAAAATATGACTTATAAATAAATGAAGATATAAACACACTTCAAAAGATTCTAATTCATTTCAATTTATCACATTGGAATTGTTTTTTTTAATATAAGCTTATAACACTTAGTATCATTATTATTACAATTGTCACCACTATTTTGTTGCAACATTCACTACTATTGTCATTATTGTCATGTTTTTCTATAATTTTTCTTAATAAACAATGGTGGCAACTCTTCTGTATATAGCTTTGATGTTTTTGTTTGTCTTGTCATGACTCTAATTATAATAGTACACTAGTGGAAAAAAGACTTTTAAAATCGGTTATTTTTGACTTTTAAAATCGGTTCTTTAACCGATCTTGAAAGAACCGATTTTAAAAGTTCTTTTAAAATTGGTTTTTATAACCGATCTTAAAAGTCGGGCTTTGAAAAAAAATTAAACTGGAACGGGCTGTTCCAAAACCGGAACGGGCCATTCCAGTCTGATAAAAATGCCTAAAAAGTCAGTTTTAGAACGGCCCATACTCCTTGGAGAACGACCCGTTCTCCTTGGAGTACAGCCCGTACTCCTTGGAGTACGGCCCGTTCTCCATGGAGTATGACCCGTACTCCTTGGGAACGGCCCGTTCTCCTTGCAGAACGGGCCGTTCCAGCTTCGAACCCAAACTGGACCTGCAACAAAAACAGAGACAAGAAAATCATGAAAAAATGAAAAGAGATACAAGAAGAACATGAGAAGACGAAAATAAAAACGAAAATGACAACAAAATTTACCTTATTAGAGATTTTAGAAAATGAGAGCTTTAGGGAAAGATTAGAATGAGAATGGAGGGGAATATAAAAGATTTCTGACGATACTTTTAAAATCGGTTATTTCATGACCGATTTTGTATACTACATACAAAATCGGTTTTGAAATAATTGATTTTAAAAGTAGTACTTTTAAAATCGGTTATAAAAGAACTGATCTTAAAAGGGACACTTTTAAGATCGGTTCTTTTATAACCGATCTTAAAAGTACTTTTAAGATCGGTTATACTATAACCGATCTTAAAAGTGCCCCTTTTAAGATCGGTTTTTATAACCGATCTTAAAAGTGCACTTTTAAGATCGGTTGTTTTATAACCGATCTTAAAAGTTTAAGATCGATTAAATTTCAACCGATTTTAAAAGTATTCATGTTATTTACAAAATTGCCACCGCGTCACTTTTAAGATCAGTTACCTTATAACCGATCTTAAAACTCCGATTTTAAATTCAATTTTTGCACTAGTGGTAGGACCGACTAACAATTGACCATTGAGCTTAAAAGTATAATGGAAGAATGAACTTGTAAGATCAACCTGCATTTGACCATTGACTACCATGTTTAAAAGCAACACAAAATAATCAATGAGTATGACCTATTTACAATTGGCTACAATGACTAAAATTGAATAAGGAAATTGACAACTTGGAAAGACTTGCAATCAACCACTGTAACATGAAAGAATCGACTAGTAGGACTAACTCACTCACAACTGGCCATTGCAATTAGAATCAAATTGAAAAATTGACATGCAGGACCAATTTGTAATAGACTATCATGATTAAAAGTGATATAGAAGAATCAACGAGTAGGATCAACTTACAATCAACTATTGCTATTAAAATTGACTCAAAAGAATCTATGAGTAAGGCCAACTTTTAATCAAACATCGCAATTAAAAGTGACACGAAAAAAATCAAATAGTAAGATTGACTTGTAATCGACCATTATGATTATATCATCTTGACGAATTGACAAGAAAGTCGATTGCATCACGGTTGCAATTAGGTGTTGTTGCAATAAAATTGAAAAAAACAAATTTACAAGTTAACGTGTGGGACTAACTTGCAATCGATCACTGTGATTATATCATCTTGACGAACGAATTGATAAGCAAGTTGGTTGCAATATGATTGCAATTAGGTGTTGCAATAAAATTAACAAAGAACAAATCTATAAGTCAACACGTGTTGCCAAAATAGATTTGGGTCATGAACCTCTTAACACTTAAGTGCTTGAGGCTCAGGGACTGTGTACACTCTAGGCTTAAAGTCAGTCGAGGCAAGTCAAGTTAGTTAGTTACATGAATCTCTTCACATTTATGTGTTTGAAACTTAGAGGCTTTGTATCTTTTGGATCCAAAGTTGATATGAGTAAACTATTATAGTTAGGCATCTGCAAACTATTATGTCAGTTATAAACCATCTTAGCTAAAATAGAAGCCCAATGGTTTGGGGTTATGGGCTAGAAATATTTACAATAATTAAGATCAAATGTATAATCATATTGAGACTTTTGAAAATTATCTCCAGAGAATTTGAGATTTTATTATAGCTAAACATGTGTATATAACCTTCTTTTAGGGTTAAAAGACGATATATTACACTTTTTGAGTGTTAATTTTGGACATGAGCAACCACTAAATTTTTTTAGGTGTTTTCCATGCTAGACAACAAAAGATAAAACAAGTTATGACTTGTGATTGGCCTTTTTATTTTGTTTATTAATTGACTCAAAAAGGCCATTTAGGTATATGTAGGACTCATATTATGGGTTTTTAGTTTCCAATTTGATTTCGTTGTTGCATTTCTTAGGCAAAAAACAATATTTGGCAAGTTTGCATCTATTTCTAGATAACATTGATTAAGGGCCTTGGATGCATTTGTATACCATTAGACCAATATAGGCTGTAGGGTCAGGAAGTCTTTATATTCCATTGACAACTAGTGTGCCTTGTTCATTTCATTGTTATCATGTAGAAATATGTGATTTCTTATCTTGTTGTGGCAAAAATTGATCATATGTAATGGGTTTATACATTGTATTGGGACATGTTGATAAGTAACATGTTACTGCCTAGATATCATGATATGAGTTGGATATAACATTGTAGCTTTTGTGTTGCTAAATTATTAAACATCAATCTCTTGTTTAATTGTGTGTTGAACTTGTCAGTAATATATACTTTGACGCACATCTATTAACTTCAGTCTATTGCATCTACCTTAATTTATTGCCTTGCTTGATTTTTATTTCATAATATATTCTGTGAAATTTTTGTCTTCATCTCGAACTTGTGTAAACTTATACTCATGCTTGTCTGTGTTGATCTAGTTTGGTTTTCATGTTATCTTAGACATGGAAGCCTGTCAAAAGAGGCAAGCAAATCTAAAGTTAGTGATAGTGACACATGTGAGGTTCTGATTGTCATCTTGTTTCTTTAATTTTGAACTTTATGCTATGATTTTGCAGATTATGTGGTGGTCTAATAGGTTATTCTACAACCCATCTATGAAACTATTAAACATTATAACTAGAAATAAAATACTTGAATATTCATTGATTCATAACAAGGATAAAACATCTTTAAATAAAAAGAAAAGGATGATAATATTTCCACAATGGTTAGGAATAATACAAAAACTATATTATTCATAATCAAAAAGCTATAAAGGTCCTTAAATTTTTTTTTTT